CAACTTTTTACTTTTAAAAGTATAACATATAGTATTCAATGATTTACAAAGATATCCCCAATAACTATAAGGCTTCCTTAATTTCTAAATTTTGACATTTAAAAAGTGAAACATATCTTCTCGTCAACTGTAAAAAGGTCCCACTGTCCTACACTCTTAACACAGTTCTCCCAATGGCATATTAGGTGACAGTGCATCAGACGTGCACTCTGGTTCATGCTTATATGTCTAAAATCGTATCTTGATATATTTCACAATGTATTTATATTATTATGTGAAGTGTATATTAGATATATTTCATAACATGTTTATATATTTCACATGCATATTATCTCAGACATGGATAAACTAACTAACTAAATAAATAAATAAATAAATGGTACACTATAGCTCATATATGTGCCTGTAAAACCCTGGCTTCTGTGACTGCACCACTCAGTACCATCTAGTAGTGGACTGTGTAAGCAAATCACATTTCTTTCTCCTTCAAATACATTTGAAAGGAAATTTGAGGCTTAGAGCGCATAAGTCACTGACCCAAGGTCACAGAGCTAAAACTCTGAGCCGGCAGGACCCCACTTCAGGCATCTGACTACAGGTCTACTTCACTTCCACTGTTACCCCTTCTACCCTCAATATATTGCAACATGTTTCTTTCCCCACTAATCTACTATCACTGAACCTCTAAAACATTATCAGTTTCCAAGTTGCTAACTGCAAAGTCTTCTTTGCAGTTACCATCAAACTGTTTTTTTCTAGATTTGACACAACTACCCACTGCTCACCAGTTCCCGCATTTTACGATGTCACGAAGCACCCTCCTGGCTCCCTGCTCACCTCTGTGACTTCTCGTCACAGTCCTTCTCTGGCTCCTCTTCCATAAATCACCCTCAAATATTTGTCAACTGTTTCTTTCTTTAGTCTAAACGCTTTCTCTAGGTGTCCATATTCATAATTATTTTAAATATTTAACTTAACAACCTTTTCTTCAACCAAAAAATCAACTCATCTAGCCTAACATTGTTCCTGTGCTGAAATTTTCAACTATTCGCTTCCATTTCCATTTGGGACTCGATATCTACATGAATTCTCTATTGCCATGCTCAGAGATTATCACAAATTTAGTGCCTTAAAACATTACAAAGTTGTTAGAAGTTCCACACAGGTCTCAATGGGCTAAAATCAAGGTGTTGTTGGAGCTGTGTTCCTTCCTAGAGGTTTTATGAAAGGATGTTTTCCCTGCCTTTTCCAGTTTTGAAAAGTCACCCACATTTTTTGGCTCATGGCCCCTTCCCCCCATCTTCAAAGCCAGCAGGGTTACATCTCCTTGACNAAATTGAAAAAAACATTCATGTAAATAAGTTAAGAAAATATGTGAGAAATGACTAAGAGAATATTAGGTCATTTTAGTACTAAAATACAGCAGAAAAAAGGTAAGCAAAAGCATGTAAGAGACAATAACATAATTGGACTGGACGCAACAGAGAAGCTGGGATGGGCAATAGAAAGGGGTGAGAGAAGAGAAATATCTAAGCTAGATATCTAAGAGAGAAGAGATAAATATCTGACATTAGATAAATATCTAAGAGAGAAGAGAAGTATCTGACAACACCTCGATGCTAGGCTGAGATAGTCACATGCTGAAACAGGCAAGAGAGAGCCATAGAATTCTGAGACATGAGGAAATATGTACTAGCCATCAGGAAATTACAGAATTTCTCCCGTGAAACTGTTACAGGCATATCTGAACCACTCTAATAAATTAAATAAATTTAGCTATTGTGTGAAAGAAGCTATTTTATCCACGTCATATATTCACATAGTCGAACTGTGTTTTTTTAATGAAGATTTTTTAGAAAATACTACCTTTGGACTCCAGTTCCACTTTCTTTTTCTTTGCCCATATATTATGGTAGTTTTCAGCCATCATTTCTGCCATAGCCTTAAATGAAGAAAATATTCGGCAACTAAGTTATACTTTAACAAGTAGAAAAAGGATAACTTTGTTTTCCAATATGTAATATGAAAACATGCTTTAAGTTAATAAATCATAGCATGTTAGTGTTAAAATACATTGAGAAGATAATCATACACAACTGTCTTCCTTGTAATCTGAACCCCAGAGAACGGTAAGGATCGCGAGATTACGCAGTAGGAAGCAGCAGAGGCGACTGGATGGGAATGGTCATTGTTATTCATAATGTTTAAAGACACACGTTTTATTAATTCACTCAT